ATAAGGTTGAGAAACACTGCCATAGACTAACATGGCTCTCCCTCTCATCTCCAAAATATAGAACGATGTCATCTGGATGTATTCAACTTTAGGTCCTGCTTTCAAGAAACAGCTGTTTCTACCAGCCAGGGCTTTGAGGAGTCAACCTCCAGGATCAGCTCTTGTGGTTGACCCAAGCAATATTGTTTGTGCAATAGGACAGTTCACTTATACTCTTAAGGGTGTGGATTGGTCCTAGCCCAAAGTGATTTACAGAATCGCATCTTCAATAGCCAATCTGACTGAACCAAAATGGGTTGAAACTCTCCATGCTAATTTGCATCCTTTTCCATTGTATGTTGTGAAAGGTGGGCTCCTTGGGTCTGATGCTTTTACTTACTCAATTTTTCCTGCACTGCTTTAAAAACAAGGAAAGCATTGGCTTTTTAAGTTAAAGATAAACAATTCCCACTTATTTTTTTTATCATTGCCCTGGATGGCAGGATGCCTATTTCTGTTATAATCTAAGTCAATATATAGCAGATGAAAGAGAACTTCAGGGTGGAAGACAAATTTGCTAGATCTGAATTTTTAGTTGAATTTTTTCAGTTCAGTCTTGTCAACTCAAAAACTAGAAGGCACTTGGATATCAAAATCCTCAGTTTCAGAATTTTACATTCTGAAGTTTTGTGGTTAAGGCACCAGGCCAGAAACCAAGAGACCATGAGTTCTAGTCCCACCTTATGCATGAAGCCAGCTGGGTGACCTTGGGCCAGGCCCTTTCTCTCAGCCCTAGGAAAGAGGCAAGGGCAAACCATTTGTGAAAAATCTTGCCAAGAAAACTGCAGGGACTTGTCCAGGCAGTTGCCAGGAGTCAACACTGGCTGGAAGATACCCAAAAAAACCCAAACCCTAAATTAAGTATTAGTGATAAGGGAAGAGAAATTTAATTCCTGGTCTTTGTAATAGCCTGAGCTACTCAGAAATATCTGGTTAGTTTTTTACAGTCTGTTTTTTTTTTTAAGTTTCCCCCCCAAAAACTCAGAGGTGTTCCAGTTGCAGTCCTCTTTTGATATAAATGGGGACTTAAAAACAGATCTGTCTCTGGACAACCCAATAGTTGGAAAGCTTTCTAATAGAGCTGCAAAGAGCTTTTGCAATCTTAGATTTGTCACAGTCGCACGTCTGTTGCACACACCTTGCCTGTGCCAAAAAAAAAAAAGAGAGAACTACTTGGCAATCTGTCCTCAATAGATTTTTGGAAAGAATCACCAGATTTCCTTTGGCTGGCCCAACAAGAGTCAGGCGAGGGAGTCCTGAATGAATACTGCTGTTTCTTTTCTGCATGGATTGTTAATGAATGCCGTGATCACCAAAGATTTTTTCACACCAGAAACAAATATGACTGTTTCTACTTCTCTCCCTGCTGAAACACGTCTGCTCCAGCCTGGAGCTCACATGTTTCTGAGAGATAGATAACACAGCAATAAAATGGAGCTTCCTGTATAAGATGCAATGAGAGGAGGTAATTTCACTTGACTTAGGTGTAAGGCTTTGCATGGATCAATTATGTATATATTTGTTCTTCTTTGAACTGTTTAGAGTTCTTTGGAGCTCCCCGGGAATGCTAGTATCTTGCGAAGGTATGGAAAAAACAGTCAGCACAGATTTTCCTGCATCTGTGTCCAAGAAAACTCCATCTCATTGTAAACAATGAAGAGATAAGGGCATGGGAGTTAAATATGATCAAACCATTGGCCTACATTTTTGTCCAGTTGGGGGCATAGCCAAATGGACCTCTTACACAACCTGTCATTTGTTGGCCATTATTTTAGGAAGGATCCTGACTATTAAGTGTTCATGACAACACCCTTATATTGAATTCTTGACCTATCATATTGACATTATATGTGATGGATAGCCCCCTCAAAAAAAAGGAAGGCTCTCTTTTGAAATGCAAGCTGAATAAAAGGCTTTCAGCTTTTAAGAGTCTAATAACAGTATTTCTAATGTGGATGTGATAGATATTTAGGTAATAAATGAATAAATTATCTAGATTTTATTGCCATGTGTTTTAAAGTAAAACTAGACCCCTTCCATTGACCTACTATTTACATTTCTGCAAGAAGGAAGGGAAACCCACATAAAAGCCATCAAGAAACATTTCACAACAGGCAAATTAATTGGTTTTTACTGTATTTGAATGAAGTTGATTGTCAAATAAAGCAAACCATGACAGTTAATAGTGTCATTTAGAGGCATAGAATTATTGGCTTGTTATTGGATAAAAACAAAAGCAAACACTTTGCATTAAGAAGTTTTAATGTGTTTAAAATCCTCATTAGGGATGTATGAACATTCTTGCTCAGCAGAATGTCTCATTAATAAGAAACTGAATGGTTTCTCCTGTGGTACAATTCCAGAGGAGGGTATTTTGCATGCATACAAGGTTGTGCGTCTGTCTGTCTGTGTCTGTGTGTGCACATGCTTTAATTTTCCATTTTACTTTCATTAGACCTTGCATTTGAACTTGGACTGCATGCTGTCAGAGTAGCATTTCATTTATGTGATTTAAAAATCTACTGGGGAGTGAGTTATATTAGAATCAGCATCTTTCCTCTTTGCTTTTGGGTGAGTGATTAAGAAGTATGGGGTGAAAGCACTACAGATCTAAGGGTTTTCAAATCTTGGAAGGCCAGAAACCTCACCAGTGAAGATATCTACCAGCATCTCTTGACAACCATAGTTAGAGTGGCTTAATTATCAATGTAACCAAAGGGGATGTAGTAAAATCCAGGGGATACCCTGAGTTTGGTGGCTTTTAAAGTTACTCATTGTAGCAGAAAGGACTTCAATTCATTTTATAGCTTTACCCCAGGGCAATTAATATATCCACATCACCATCAGTAGCACGTACCGTTGTTGTAAAGCAATTTTTCTCATGCGCATGGCTTCCATTGATAAACATCTATTTGGAATGTTGGAAATTACATTTGTCCAAAGTGTTCCATTCACAAGTGTAATTCCGTCAATTACACTTTCTCCCCCAGGGCTGTTTAACCGAACCTCTCAATTTCTTTCAAATATAAAAGGATCTGTCAGTCTTGGAAAATGATTATGAACAGCAGATGAGCAAAACACCCATCCATTGAAATTGGCCAAATTCAGTAGCTACACCTATTCCTGGTCTAAACAAGAGTATCAGTGAAAAAAAGAAATGGGACCCCTAATTCCCCACCATAAATGTGGCTGAGTATCCATGGTTTCAGAGACAGACTTTTTAAAAGCAAAATACCCAAAGCCACCTACATTCATGGATGCTTCTGCTGGATTCATTCTGTCTCACAGTTTAATAAACCCTTAGGTTCTTTCTGTCCCAAATTTGCAAATTGTGGTAAATTCTGCCCCAGGTTTGCAAACTGTAGTAAATTATTTGCAAAAACAGACTTGAAGAAGATTCTTCACCCATTGATTTGTTTTTTAAATAAATCTTTAAAGCTCCCACCGGTATGTCTTTAGCTATATTTGGCACAGAGCTCAAACGTAGATGGATTTCAGTCTTATGTTCCAAAGACAGTTGTTACTTTCTTAAATAGAGTTTTCTGGGTCACCTAAACTGCTTTGGGGTTCCTAGAAGGGGTGGATGATCCATATACTATTACTGGCCCATCAACTGGAGCAAAGTATAAGAAGTTATTCAAGTGCCCTGTTAATTCATCTCTTCCTTAGCTGTAGCTTAAATTCTTCTCTTTATCCTGTACCACTCTTCAAAGCTCTTTATATGTTGTCTTATCAAATATAACCAATATATTCAGACTGCAACTAGCTTAACAGTCCGATCAGTTCATCAGTGCCATCTTCCTCCCCAACAATTAACTGGTTTTGAGCTAATGATTTTTAGGCATGGAGATTTTCATTCTGGATTTGTTTGCTCATATATACCACCAGCAATCATATAGATGGGGCTGTCAATAAGTACAGCTAATTAATTAATAACTAAAGAAGGGTGACATAAACAATTGAATATAAAGTGACCTTCCTCATGGATACAGTGAAAGGTAGTGCTTGGGTTTTACATCATTTTAAAATGTGATGTGTAACCTGTTGATATTACCTGTGTTTCACTGATACAATGATTAGAAAAGTTCCCTTGTAGACTGACTATGTATTTCGTTCTCCCTCTTTTAGGTTAGCCTTCCCAATGATTCCAACTGTGTGGAGGAAATACTACGGGTAAGTTGAATCTTTTTTTGTTGATTACATCATAGAGCCTCAACAGTACACTAAATAGAGTGTTCAGCTTAGATCTGCAATATTATGGTCAAATATCTGTTTATCTCTGAGACTTATCAAGTGATTTCAAGCCAACTATTTTATTTCAGCTGGAGTAAGAGTGTGTATTGAGCTCTCTGGAAACACAGAAAAATAAAATCAATTCCATCCATTAGTAAAGCACTCATGTTTTCAGTGGTGACTCTTCAACAGCCAAAACAGTAACGTCCATAATTCCTAGAGAAGTATCAAGAAGCTGGGTGAAACCAGACATTTGCAAAACTGCAACCAAAAAATTGTTAAGGGTTACAACTTGGGTCCCCTTCCAAAAGCTGCTTCAACTGAGCAACATCAAAGACCCTAAAATGGAGGTTGAAAGAAGGGGCCCAGAAAGGGAAATTGAATCTTCTGAAGGAGGTCCTTGTTGGTGGATCAGAAGTATTCCATATTTGATGCAGCTTTCAGTTCTAGAATGTATTCCATTCTATTACAATAAAATTGAATCAGTCAGGTTAATCTTATCCATATGTTCTTGCATATTTCTGTCAAGGTCATCTTCCTTACTCTCTACACAGTGTTTTCAAATAGAGATTCTTCCAAAGACAAGTCTCTTTGGGTCACTAACTTGGTGAATGTTCAATGTTGCAGAGCAAGTCTCTGTAGTTTCTTCAGATGATACAGTATTGTTGAGGCTCAAGAAGGGAGGAATGGCAAGCAGACCTTCCCCTTTAGAGGTTGCTATGATGTCTTCACTGAAGACTCAACTGCTATGCAACAGTTGTTTGAAGAAGGGATTCTTCACCTATGCTCAAGATTGCCACATGAACTGGAACCCTGATCTTTGTGGATTCCAGCTTTGTGTACACAAAGTCTTCCTGCTATAGACTATTCCAATGTATCAATGATTGTCTGTTCATTGAAGTCACATCACCACTTCTCCTTATACATTGAGATTCATATATAAAACTCCCATCTGAATAGGCTTATGATGCTACTAAAAACAGCTTTTTGATGCAGTGCAGAAGATCAATGTGGGAGGACCACCTTCTCTAACCTAAGATGCACCAGAGGCATTAAGACTCCACTTGACCCATGTTGGTTGAGAATTCTGAGAGTTGCTGTTGTAATATATCTGTGGGATGCCAGACTGGGGAAGGGTGTGATAAGTAGGGCTTCTAGCTTCAGTGGCAAGAAAGAATCCAAATGTGAGATGGAGCATGACAGCTCTAATATGTAAGGTCTTGATAGATACCCATTCCAAGAACAATGTTCTTCTAGTTAGGAATATCCATTCCATCATTCCAGACAAATAGTTGGACAGGTGCAGTATTAATTAAGAGCTTCATACTCCCAAGCAAACCAGAACCCTGCTTATAATCAGAATAGAATGAAGAGAATTAAATGAACAAAACTCTGTAATTTATTCTCTCTTCTCCCCTCCTGATGACTAGCTTCAATCTAATGACATTAGAGAATATGTAAATTGATCAGCAGGTGAAAATGCCCTTGACTGAGAAAATCATATGCAATATTACCTTTCCTGTACAATTTGAAAAGCGCTAATCGACTTAATACGTACCAGCCCTCGTTGAGGGGACTTGTTCACAAAGCAAAATTAGCCTACTAATAGACTTGTCCCTGTGTCCCCACCCTCCAGGAAACCCCATTAATTGTTTCTTTTCATGTGGGTGCAGATGCATCCAGTAGTCCACAGAGAGTTTCAGAATTTGCACATGCTACTTTTGCTGGGAAGATTTTGGGAAGGTTGGGGGAAAAGGATACAATCTGAATTTCAAATGGCTTTTCAGACATCATTGCACAAATGAATAGCAAGCTGGCCAGCATAGTAAATCATACGAGTCTGTCAAATATGGGAACACCTTGGGAAGGATATGATGTCAAATACCAGTAACTTAGCAACCTAGCCCTTTGCTGTCTGAAGAATGAGGAACAACGAGCACTTTTCAACAGAAGAGTACATCAATCAACTGTTATGTTAGGAGCAGCCAGGGTAGAATCTGGGATCTTTTCAGCTTTGCAATGCTGGTTTGTGTAGTATGTATCCAAGAGCCTCTGGGCTATTCCATGCCACTGATCCCACCTCAGCTGGAAGAACTATAGAGACTCAAGGTCAGGATGGGACTTGGCACTGTAACATCAGATTTCAGTATGCATGCTTCCTTATTCAGTGGCTCGTGAAGGCCCCAAATTGCCTAAAAAAGAGGATTTGAGGGGCGGATGTTATAATCAGCCCTAACTAACAAAAGCAGGATGCAAAAGGAGCTAGATCCCCAGTCTGTGAAAGCGAGTTCTTACAAGGTCATAAACAAACAGCCTGATCACCCTGTTACCTTACCAAGAGACAGAAGGAAGCCATCTTTCCCACCTAAAAGGGAGTGGATTCAAATCCATGACACCACAAGGCACAAGAATGTGAACCTGGATTTCATTATAAACAGGGCTTGCATTTGATACACAGCAGTCACTGGAATTCTTTTGTGATGGCTTCATTAACTTTCCTGCAGTAAATCTACTTATCAAAAGCTTTTGTATCCTTCCATGCCTGTTTATCTGTTGTTACGGCAGCTTTCTTGGAGAAGCCTGACATAGTTTGCAGTTTCAGGGCCCCAAACAAAAAATGGAAAGTGGCAAGAGGTAGCCCATCAACGTCAATGTCCTTAGGAAGTGGTCCGTCTGTTAGCTACATGGGGCGTGGATGTGTGGATGTACACACACATACATTATTCTCGTGAGCAAGGACCTTATTTCCAAGCAAATACTTTAGCATCAGAATGGCAGAAACAAATTCCCATTTATCCTTGTTGTCATGAAAATGATACAGTTTAAATGTAACACCAACCATGCGCACTCCAAGTGTGGGTTTTGAAAGAAAGTTTGCAGGTGCTCTGTTCAGCTCTCAGATGCCCATTAATGCCTCTGTTGACTAAGTCACCTTCTCAAATTCCTTTCCTCTGTCTGAGAGAAGATGTCTTCACCTTCCAGAGAATGGTCCCTTTCGAGGAACCCTTTCCCTTCTTCTGAAAGGGACACTTTGTTTCTCAAGACCATGTTCACCATGGCTGCAGAGAACCCAAAACACTCCACCAGAGATGCTGCTATTTCATCCAGAGAGTTCTTTCCACCGACCACACTTTCTTCACCAGGTCCTCTTCCTCAGTCTCAGGAGAACAAATGTGTTGTGTCAGAGCTAAGTGGCTCTGTCACCCATCAAATCCATTCATACCTTTTGCCGAGTAAGGGAACTAATCATATGTACAATTTACTGGATAACCCCAACATCCCTACTAGCTTTCGATCTGGGTAACTATTGTTTTATTGTGCTGGACATCTACATTGTTTAATGTATCAGGAAGCAGGAAATCAAATGCTCTGAGTTCCTTACTGGGTTGTCAAACTCACAGATAATTCCTTTACATCCTGACACTTTGTCTATGGGATTTCCTTCATGGTCAGAGAGTCTCTGATTAAACCTAGACTGTCTGCCTTGCTTCCCACTGACTATGGGCTTCTTTTATGTTTTTAACAGCAGCTTTATATCCTCTGTAATATAGTTTTCCAACCTAAACCACAGAAGAGGGCAGCAACATACATTTCTGTACATTTGAAGTATTTGATAGTTGGTTGACAATACCTTGGCAAGAAGAGTATAAATTAACTGTTCTTTATAGCTGTCCGGCCAAAGCCAACTTTGGGATAAGACTTCCTCTATAAAGTCTAAACCAAGGCACAAAGGAAATTTTACAAGGAGTGAAATCTGGAAGGATGGAGGCTGGGTGGAGAAACTCGTGCGGTCACCCCAGGACAGAGAGCAGATGTCCAAAGTTCAGTGAAATTGTGACAGAAGCAGTCGGCAATTTAGGAATGTTCACAACAGGATTTGCAACCTCAGTCAAAATTAAGGATCACTCAAGTCTTGATTTTTTAATTGAATGGATTAAATGGATTTAGGATACTTTTTAGTTCCTGGCCAGTGTTCATTTTAAGAATAACTCTACTTTTTCCACTGCCTCAAATTCTTGCATTGCTTTCCCTCAAAAAACCTATTGGCAAAACTCAAAGTCAAAACAACCATTCATTTAAATAGCAGAAGGCTAGACTTAGTGTAAATAACATTTCTGACAATTAAGTTGTCCCAGCAGGTGGTATGAGTAAGGAATGGACTGGGGGTGGGGGGGGGGGGTTCTTTTTTTGGTTTTTTTTTAAAATGTAGACCTTGGAGGAGAGATATG